GCCCTCTGGAGCGACAATTTATTTGTCCGCACTAATGTCCTTGAAGAATTTCTCAAATGAAAAGGAACAGTTAAGGGTGGAGTGTACCTCCAGTTATAATGAATAATATTTAATATATCTAGTTTTTCCTCTTTCTTTTAAACAAACTTTTCCAGGGTGGCTTAAGAAGAAGAAATTTAGAATAAATAGAATCAATCAATTAATTAACTGAAAGAGTAAATCAACTCCCCAAATTCTATTTTAAAGCATGTCGGCTGGGGAATTCTGGGAGCTGAAATCTATTTTAATACATGCTGATTGAGGAATTCTGGGAGTTGAAGTCCACCCATCTTTAAGCATGCCACTAAGGGATTCTGAGAGTTGAAGTCTTGAGGCTTGATAAACATTGCCCTAGATAATTGGAGGTTGAGCGTGTGAAACCAATCGAGACATCTCTTGAGGTCACATAACCTTGATTTACTTGCAGATAGCATTCCAGTGATGTATGTGATAACCGTCTTGGTTGAGCATCTTGCTGGCTTGGCCTTTAAGACTCGAGGGTGTCTTGTATAACGATGCTTGCGGAAGGCTGCTGGGCAAACCTGCCACCTGTGGGCTGCTTTCCCATTGCAGCTAACCCTATTTTGATCAGCCTTACCTGCCCTTCCTCCTCCTCCTCCTCCTCTCGGATGAAAGAGAGAGGAAAATAAAGGCCACACATAAAGAGGCAATTTCAGTAATTAAAAGCAAACCACTTTCGCTCCCGAGCAGCGAAAATCTAGGCCAAGTTGCTTTTTGTGGAGGGAAAGAATATAAAGCCTCGCCAGCGACGGGCAGCGAAAGCGGGCAACAGGCGCCTCCTCGGATGGTGCAGCTTTTCTGAAAAGAGTTGCTATTGTGTCGCCTCGCAGCCTGCCGTCTCCCCATTGTGTCCTGTTGTGTTCAGGCAAACTGCCTGCTCCCTGGCCTCGCACTCTCTGCGGCCGACGCCAGGCGGCCCGTGAGGGGCTCAGAGGCATCACCCTGGATGTGGGGTTGGGTGCCCCCCCCCCCAAGTGATCAGGGCTTGCTGGCCAGAGAAATTGGGGCACTGGCATAACTCCAGGAGGAAACACAAGGGAAGGAGAGGGAAAGTTTGTTAACTCTGTTGGAACATTATTGCCTATTCTATCCTATCCTATCCTATCCTATCCTATCTATCTATCTATCTATCTATCTATCTATCTATCTATCTATCTATCTATCTATCTATCTATCTATCTATCTATCTA